TGTACAGAGCGGTGAAATCCCTGTTGTCAGATATGCTGGAGAGAGGAGTGATTAGAGAGAGCTGTAGCCCTTGGGCTGCACCCATAGTCCTGGTGAAGAAAAAGGACAACAGTTGGAGATTCTGTGTCGATTATAGGAAATTGAATGCAGTAACTCATAAAGATGCCTTTCCTTTGCCTAGGATAGAGGAGACTCTGACCAGTCTGAACCGAGCAGAGTGGTTTTCTACCCTTGACCTGGCCAGTGGGTACTGGCAGGTCAAAATGGATCCTCAGGACAGGGAGAAGCTGCTTTTACCACTCCACTTGGGTTGTTTGAATTTGAACGCATGCCGTTCGGATTGTGTAATGCCCCCGCCACTTTCCAGCGACGTATGCAGCAGTGTTTAAGTGGTCATATGGCAGAGTCACTGTTGGTGTACTTAGATGACATCATTATTTACTCACCCGATTTCTCCTCTCACCTACAGCATCTGGATGGGGTACTCCAAAGGCTGTGGCAGCACGGGTTGAAGCTACTGCTGGACAAGTGTAAACTTTTGCAACGTGAGGTGAAATTTTTGGGCCACGTGGTAGATCAAAGACGGGTAAGACTTGACCCAGATAAGATCTCGGCGATGAGGGATTGGCCGCCCCCCTCTACTGTGCAACAAGTGCAGGCCTTTTTGGGACTGGCCGGCTACTACAGACGCTTTGTGGCGGGATTTGCAAAAATTGCCCGGCCACTGAATGCACTGCTGGCCGGCGCCCCTATTAACAAGGGGACGGAGACCCGGGCAGTACGATGGTCCCCTGAGCACCAAGTGGCCTTTGACGCACTGAAGACAGCGCTTATCCAGGCCCCTGTCCTGGCATACGCTGATTATTCGTTGCCATTCATTTTGTACACAGACGCAAGTAATCAGGGGTTGGGAGCAGTGCTGGCTCAAGTACAACCGGGGCAGGAACATGTCATACCCTATGCCAGCCGTAGCTTATACCCAGCTAAGCGCAACGACGCGAACTATAGCTCCTTCAAATTGGAGCTTTTGGCACTCAAGTGGGCAGTAACCGAGAAGTTTAAGGATTATTTGACTGGTGCAACGTTCTCAGTATATACTGACAATAATCCTGTTGCCCATCGGCAGACAGCCCGCCTGGGGGCAACGGAACAGCGCTGGGTTGCTCAGCTTGCCTCCTTTAACTACAACAAGTATCGTCCCGGAAAAAGCAACACAAATGCTGATGCCTTGTCCAGGTTCCCAGTGCCCACCTCGGATGATGAACGCTCCGATGCGCAGGCTGCATTTTCGGCCGCCGTGGAGCTCGCCCCTGATGGGGGAAGTGAATATTGGGCTGATTGTGAATGGGAGCTGGCTCAAGCCAATGAAAGTGTTTAGTTTCTTCTCTTGATATGACGGAAGGAAATTGTCCATTTTGGGATTAAATCGCAGAGCGAAAGCCACCGAGACCGAGCATGCTTGTGTGACTGGTGGCCGTTTGTTCTCTATGAGCGCTGCGCTCCTCCTCCCCGCGTAATTATGCCGGCTCTTTAAAAGCCCCTATTGTGTCCAGCTGCGCAAGAGCGTTTACCTGGTGTCCTGACAGACAGGTGGGGCAGCGTGTCTGAGCTGTACACTGGGTGCATGGAGGATTATTTTTACGGGTAAGGGATCCTTTTAGTTTTCATACAATTGTTTGGAAAGGCTGGGGCTGTATGCTGCGTGTGTGTGTGTGTGTGTAAATGCGCTGTAGGATCAGTGGTGTGGATGTGCCGATTACCCGTTATCTGAGCCCTTCCCATGAAACATAACAGGTAAGCGTGCGCTGATTAATTGAAAAGGAAGGAAATCGGCAGTTTAATAATTATTTCCTTCCTTTTAACAGAAAGCACTGGCACTGCTGTTTTTGTTCAGTTGATTATTTTGCTATACTTATTTTTCCTTTTATGAAACTCCTAATGATTTCATTGTGAGTCACTTTTAGAAAGGGGGTCTGTGACGACTAGAAAGTTGGCTGTGGAGGGCCGCATATGTGAGAGGGCGCAGCCGTATTACCACTTGGTGTGGATAATAGTGCATGTTTTTATTCTTTTTCTTGTTTGCATGATGATTGTCGTGTGTATTATGTACCGTGAATCCTCTAATACAGGCCGGTATTCAATTAAAGGCCTTGGCCGGTGTCGGAGTCAGCGCGGAGGTGAATAATGGCCGGTCTCTTATTGTGGCCGGGTGGAATGTGGTAACAAGCAAATATGAGCGTCCCAGCGGCAGGGTTATAGTCCCCAAATCAACCAGCAGGAGGCAGTAGAAGTTCACGCATACCTTTATTAGGCTTTTTCTTCAATGCGTTGTAACGCTACAGACACGATCCTCTATCACGCTCCTACCACACAGAGTCACGGTGTCAGTTAACCATGCTAATTCAACCCGCTCCACAGAACACACATCACCTTCCCTGTGGCTTACATAACACTCACACAACACACAAATCAGCACATAGGAACTAGCAGAACGATAGGAAACACATATAACACAATACCCAGAATGCACCTGGCTTACAACCCCAACCAGGTCATTACACTATCAAGTTCAAAGAGAACGTGCTGATTATGCTGCAGAACACTCTGGAGAGCAGCAGTAGGGGGTGTATGAACTAGTCAACTTCACTATAGTGACTTTTTATGCCTGTCGTCGACTAGTCGCTGTCACGTGATAATGACCGGCAAGATGCAGCCCTCGGAAAAGACAGCAGCCTGCTGTCAGCAGGTGACAAGCTCCTGCGCTCGGGGGGTGGGGCAACGCGCTGTGCCAGAGCGTCGGTACTGACACGCGATTGTTCATGTCGGTTCATTTCCTTTAATGTTTTCTGTCTTTTATTTGCGCCTGATGCGTTTCGCTGCATGCTGTGGAGCGGGGCGCTGCGGGCATCACCTTGTCCTCCGACGCACTGATCACTGATACGGCCGCCAAACAGCAAGCGCTCCGCTGTTTTTGCGGTCGGTAGATCTTTTAGAACTGCAGTTCAAAGGTAACTCATAAGGTGAATATATATGAACCCAGGTAGCAGTTTCTCTTTAGGACTGAGAGGAGATGCAGGAAGATAATAAACAGGCAGGACAGAAAAATAGTCAAATAAAAACAAGTTAGTTTTTGTACCTGCTGGTTGCAACAAACAGACACCATTGAAGGTAATCAGAAGTGAGGAACAGAAAATGAAATAATTATTTTAATGTTTAGAGCAGCAGGAACTCCGAGAGGCTGCAGGCGCATCAGTGAGTTTGCGGCCGCTGCGCAGGGGGAGGGGGGAGAGGGCTGAAGCAGGGGGAGGGGGGAGAGGGCTGAAGCAGGGGGAGGGGGGAGATGGCTGAAGCAGGAACTACCGTTGTTAAAATAAATGTGTTTAACTTTGAAAATGTGGGCGCAATTTTAATTGTCAAAAACTCCAGCGAACCATTAGTTCATTTTGCTCAAATAGAAATAGAGGCCTGCCTCTAATACTGGCCCTCCTTCCAATAAAGGCCTGGAGCTTGATGTGCTTGAGTCAAATACAGGCCCGGGCCTGTATTAGAGGATTTATGGTACATGCATGTTACACAGCCCTGGTTGTTTTGCCTCCCTCCTCCAGCAGAAGGTGTCATTAGTCCCCTCTGGGGTTTTTAGAATCAGAATCAGAAGTTTTTATTGCCATATGTGTGCCAAGTCACAACATTAGGAAATTGCTGTAGTATTTTGGTGCACAAGGTAAGATAGAAAAAAAATTAATTAAGAGATAAGCAAATATAAGAACTAATAAAACACTCATGATAAAATTATTAATGTAAAAAGTGGCAAGAATTAGAGAAGCAGCTATCTACTCCGTGTAGGTATTAATCTGAGTATTTGCTGAATGGTTCAAGCACAGCATCGGGTCACGTGACTGGGACCAATCAACTTGAGTGGGCTGCCCTAGGATTTTCATTCAAAAGTCCAACTGCAGAGGGGAAGAAACTGTTTTTGTGGCGAGAGGTTCTGGTCTGAATGGATCTGAGCCTTCTGCCAGATGGGAGCGAGTCGAAGAGACTGTGTCCAGCGTGAGACGAGTCAGCTGTTATCCGACCTGCACGCCTCAACGTCCTAGAGGTGTACAGATCTTGAGTGGAGGGGAGTTTGCAGCCAATGACCTTCTCTGCAGAGCGCACGACACGCTGCAGCCTCTTCTTGTCCCTAGTGGTAGCTCCAGCGTACCACACGGTGATGGAGGAGGTGAGGATGGACTCGATGATAGCGGTGTAGAACTGCCTCATCGACTGTGGTGATAGGTTGAATTTCTTCAACTGCCTCAGGAAGTACATCCTCTGCTGGGCCTTTTTTCTGATGGTGGTGATGGTGGGCTCCCATTTGAGGTCCGGGGTGATGGTGGTGCCCAGGAAGCAACATGAGTCCACCATCGTGATGGGAGTGTCAGACAGGTTTAAGGGGGGGGGGGGGGGGGGGTGTTTCCTAAAGTCCACAACAACCTCCGCTGTCTTCTGGGTGTTTAGCACCAGGTTGTTGTGGCTGCACCAGGACACCAGCCGTTCAGCCTCCATTCTGTAAGCAGACTCATCCCCATTAGAGATGAGTCTGATGATGGTGGTGTCGTCAGCAAACTTAATTAGTTTGACAGACTCATGCTTGGAGGTGCAGCTGTTGGTGTACAGGGAGAAGAGCAGAGGGGAAAGAACACAGCCCTGTGGTGAGCCGGTGCTGATGGTCCGTAGGTCCGAGACATTCTTCCCCAGCCTGACTTGTTGTTTCCTGTCTGTCAGGAAGTCAGTGATCCACCTGCAGATGGGGTCAGGCACGTTCATCTGGGACATTTTGTCTTGGAGGAGGTCTGGCAGGATTGTGTTGAATGCAGAGCTGAAGTCCACGAACAATATCCTGGCGTAGGTACCTGGGGAGTCCAGATGCTGCAGGATGAATTGTTGCGTAATCTACAGACCTGTTTGCTCTGTAGGCAAACTGCAGGGGGTCCAGGAGGGGGCTGTGAGGGTCTTGAGGTGGGGGAGAACTAGCTGCTCAAATGACTTCATGACCACATATGTCAGAGCCACAGGTCTGTAGTCATTTAGTCCAGTGATTCTTGGTTTCTTGGGGACAGGGACTATGGTGGACATCTTGAAGCAGGCAGGCACATGAGATGCCTCCAGTGAGGAGTTGAAGATGCTCGTAAACACTGGGGCCAGCTCTTCAGCTCAGTGCTTTAGAGTGGCAGGAGCCACGGCATCAGGGCCCGGGGTTTTTCATGTGTTAAGAGACCTGAACTGCTTCTTTACATCTGCTTCATGAATGTGTAGGTTTGTGGTGGAGGTGTGTGATGTGAAGACCTCATGAGTGGGGAGTGAGGGAGAGGGTGATGAAGGTAAAATCCGCAGTGATGGAACTGTCTTGTTCCTTTTTTATATAGAAGAACTTGTTTTATGCATTGTGTGTAAATAAACTCACGTTTGGAGGAAGACATTGTGTCAGCCCATTGTTTGATCTAGCGTGATCATTCTCCGTACCTAAAATAATAACAGTCGTGGGGCTCTAGGTTCACACTTGTACCAAATGAATATGTAGTTAGTTCACTTTTTTTCAGTGAATTTCTACTTTGTTCTTGATGGTCGCATGAGTGAACCATGTACACGAACACATTCAGTGCAAACACACGCGCACACATGCATCTCCTGTGATTTAGATTCATCATATATTTCCCCCAGTTTCAGCTGAGTGTCTCATTTCGTAAAAAAAAAACGATTGTGAACTCTCTCTCAAGTCAAGTTTATTACATAGCCCATTTCATACACAACGGTAGCCCAATGTGCTTCACATAGTTAAAACAATCACAAGTGAAATGAAATAGTTAAAATGTCACATCATGTTGTGTAAAATAAAATCAAAGAATATTGACACAGAACATAGTACACAAACATAAAAGCATATTAAGTAAAATTATTGGAAGTTCTTTCTTTTACAGTCCTCTAATTACTTAGTACTGCTCGCTGTTGATTTATTCAATATAATTACTTACAACTGTACCATGTTCAGCGCTTTGGGCTTCCTGACAGGGTTGCGGAAGGCGCTATATAAATAAAGCTTTGATTGATTGATTGATTGACTTTCATGTGACTGTTTAAATTTGTCTTTTTGCTAAATCTTTGTCCACAGAGCTCACAGGCGAAAGGCTTCTGTCCTGTGTGGACTTCCATGTGACTGTTTAAATTTGTCTTTTGGCTAAATCTTTTTACACAGAACTCACAGGCGAAAGGCTTCTGTCCTGTGTGGACTTTCATGTGACTGTTTAAATTTGTCTTTTGGCTAAATCTTTTTACACAGAACTCACAGGCGAAAGGCTTCTGTCCTGTGTGGACTCTCATGTGACGGTTTAAATGTGCCTTTTGGCTAAATCTTTGTCCACAGAGCTCACAGGTGAAAGGCTTCTGTCCTGTGTGGACTTTCATGTGTTTGTTTAAATGTGCCTTTTGGCTAAATCTTTTTACACAGAGCTCACAGGCGAAAGGCTTCTGTCCTGTGTGGACTTTCATGTGACTGTTTAAATGTGTCTTTTTGCTAAATCTTTGTCCACAGAGCTCACAGGCGAAAGGCTTCTGTCCTGTGTGGACTTCCATGTGACTGTTTAAATTTGTCTTTTGGCTAAATCTTTTTACACAGAACTCACAGGCGAAAGGCTTCTGTCCTGTGTGGACTTTCATGTGACTGTTTAAATTTGTCTTTTGGCTAAATCTTTTTACACAGAACTCACAGGCGAAAGGCTTCTGTCCTGTGTGGACTCTCATGTGACGGTTTAAATGTGCCTTTTGGCTAAATCTTTGTCCACAGAGCTCACAGGTGAAAGGCTTCTGTCCTGTGTGGACTTTCATGTGTTTGTTTAAATTTGTCTTTTGGCTAAATCTTTTTACACAGAGCTCACAGGTGAAAGGCTTCTGTCCTGTGTGGACACTCATGTGTTTGTTTAAATTTGACTTTTGGCTAAATCTTTGTCCACAGAGCTCACAGGCAAAAGGTTTCTCTCCTGTGTGCACTCTCATGTGGCTGCTTAAAGTTGTCTTTTGGCTAAATCTTTGTCCACATAGCTCACAAGGAAAGGGCTTCTGTCCTGTGTGGACTCTCATGTGACTGTTTAAAGTTTTCTGATGGCTAAATCTTTGTCCACAGAGCTCACAGACGAAAGGCTTCTGTCCTGTGTGGACTCTCATGTGACTGTTTAAATGTGCCTTTTGGCTAAATCTTTGTCCACAGAGCTCACAGGCGAAAGGCTTCTGTCCTGTGTGGACTTCCATGTGTTTGTTTAAAGTTGTCTTTTGGCTAAATCTTTTTACACAGTGCTCACAGGCAAAAGGCTTCTGTCCTGTGTGGACTTCCATGTGTTTGTTTAAAGTTGTCTTTTGGCTAAATCTTTGTCCACAGAGCTCACAGGCGAAAGGCTTCTGTTTAACATCTGGTGTTTTTAAACGAAGTTTCATCCATTTATTTTACTCTGGTAACAGACAGGCTTTTGTAGTTCCTACAGGGAGGATTGACCTTGCCCTAAGTACCAGGACTGGTACTGGTCCCCTTATCAGTAGAACTCCCTTGAGAAAGTCCAGACTGCAACTGCTTTGTGGTTTGTTGATTTAGAATTGCACCTGGTGTGTCTTCCTGCCTAAGAGTCTGTGAAGAATGTCGAATGTGTGTGTGGTTATCTTTTTTTGTGTATGCTTAATAAAGCCTTTCGGAAGGCATCTGCCCGATGAGAGCGAACCTGACAACCGACTGGTGTGTACTTTTCCTCTCCACTTTGCAAAGTCTAAACTGATTGATTGTTTGATTATTGGTATTGGTTTTGACAAACTGATTACTATAAGCCCCTGTGCTTTGAACTTCCCTAAGGTAATCCTGGATTGATAAAATTACCCAACACCCTCCAAACTCGGCCAGAGTTTCTCCTGTTCCTCCCTTTTGTGGAGAAAATCTAGGTGCTGGTGGTTGACACGAGCACTCTGTTCTTCTGAAGCTTCTTATTTAACCAGAATCACCTGTTGAAAATCTGTAGGAAACACAAAAACATATTATGTGAATTACAGACAGCTGTAGCTTTTTTTCACACATATAAAAGTTGTATTATTTCTTTAAACGGACAGTAGAATGAAATGTATTTACAATTGGAAATCATATGAGCCTTAACCCTCAGGCTTCACTTTAATTTTCATACAAAAGAGTCATTAGAGGACAAAAATGTCCGCTTGTAAAAGTGGCTATAAAAAATGTATACATTAATGTTTATTTTTACTTTTTTTTTTCATAAATCTGTTGAACAACTTCAGCCATGCTCAAACATAAAAAACTCAATCATTTTGAGGCTTTTAACCCCTGAAATGCCCGTTTGTAATTCATGAAAAAAAAACCCCACTAAAACTGAGTTATTAGATGGCATTAGAGGACAACAATGTCCACTTTTAAAACAACTTTAAAATTGGTCCAGATTAGGGCTGGGCGATATGGACCAAAACTTATATCTCGATATCTTTTAGCTGGACTTCCGATATACGATATATCTCGATATTTTTCCTCCAAACCCTAACAGTATTGACTCATATCAGCGATTATACTGTAATGACTCAAGAGTCTCTGGTTGCTCATTTATGAGTATTATTTTCGGGCTACTGTCACCATAACCCACGCCTTACAAACTCTTAACTTTTTTCTACAGAATCACTCGTGATGGAGTATTTACTAGCATAGCAAACCAGAGCGGAAAAAACTGGAACAACATTTCTCACCCGTTGAGCTTGCCTTCAAAATAAAACGGTAACCCTATAGTTTACAATTCAAACCCTTACAATATATTTGAGGTAATTTGGCCACTCCGGCTTTCCGTAGAGGAGGGAGGGGTTTGGCTTGTCTCTCCGCACAAGCAGGATGGAAAACAGAACTTTGTTGACGTTGAACGTCCCCAAATAATTTAAAACCAGGACGCCAAATGTGAAGTTTAGAGCAGCACAATTACCCAGAGGCTCTCAGATTGAGCAAACTTGTAAGAATACATGTAATAGCCGCTTAAAGACGGAGCAGCATGTCACTAGCACAGCAGCTAATTGCTAGCATAGCAGTTTAACCAGTTATATCGATATAAAGATATAAAGTCATCTTATATCTTGTTTTAAAATTATACCGATATTTTAAAAGTATCGATATATCGCCCAGCCCTAGTCCAGATTAATATTTTTTTCTGCTTTTTGGGTCCAAATCTTGGGCTCAACTTCAGTTCTGATTGAAAAAATCAAATATTGAATGTTTATCTAAATTTTAACCCTTTATATGCCAGTTTGATTATGTGTATTTCTTCTAGAGGTGTGAATCTTCACTTGTCTCCCGATTCGATTACGATTATTGGATGAACGATGAATGAGGAAACAGATGTTTTACTTTGTTAAATCTTCTTAAATGTTTAAAATATTTTGTCATAACCTGTTGTGAATGGAGAGCTTTTGAGGGATGGCAAGTTGTGTCACTTATGTTTTTGATTTTAAAAAAAGCAATTATCTGACATCTTCTATTTATTAATGAAAACAAATCAATATGAAATAATCGTGATGCATCGGGATATCGAATTGAATCGTTGACCCAATAATCGTAATCGAAACAAATCAGGAAACAAGTGAAGATTCACACTTCTATCAGGAATGCCTTCTCTCTTTCTACTTTTAAGCCACTGCTTAAAACCCACTTCTCTTAAGATTAACCCAGCATCCCCAGTCTGTTTAATATGTGTCATGTTTTATTATGTGTTTATTGCATTATTATTATTGTTGTTATTATTAATATTATCACTTACAACCGCACAAATAGCCAGGCAAAGTGTGTCCCCACTCCCTGTTCAGCTATTTTCCTGCACCAGATCTGGCTTTTACAGATGTTTCACACCTGTGTGAATAGCACAGCTGTCTAAGAGAAAAACCACTTCTCCAACTCATTTACATATCTGAAAAGTGGCAGCCCTACCTGTGTCCATGCTGTCCAGGTCCAGGTGGTGAAGAACACACGATCAATCAGTCCCAGCTGATGGATGATCCTGAAGTGGTAGCAGGTTTTCTTTAGCCGTGTTTAGCTAACAGCTGCAATAGAAACAAAGCAGGAGAGCTGATTAAGATGCTGCTTCAGAACAACGCAGGAGATTAAAGATCCAACGCTTTGGTTCTGGCCAAAGGAACAGCAGCAGATCCAGAGGGCAGGAAGTCTAGAGAAAAGCTTTTCTGACCCACAACCTGATTCTGGAGCTCCGATTGTCACGAAGACCGCAGAATATCTTCTCTGGTTCTGGAGAGAACTCCACCAAGTTGTTGAGGAGGAGAAGAAAGTTTCCACAGCCTGGTGAGAAGATTTCTGCAGCAGCAGCAGTTAGTCGCTTTAGCGGATCAACTCTCCCAGAGACTGAAGTGAAGACATTTTTACTGCAGAGCCTCAAATATTCTCCTCACACACCAGAGCAGCAACAAGCTAGCTCTGCTAGCAGCTTTCGGTTTCTGCTTCTTCTGGTGGTCGGTAACCAGCGTAAAGGCGCACTAGCCCCACCTGCTGGAGCAGAATAAAACACATAACACGTGTTATATTTTTATTATTTTAGGTGGTCTCTTTAAAAGCCACGAAAAACAAGTAAAATACTTTTTTCTTTATGATTTTTTAAATCTAAATCTGACCAGTTTTATTATTTATGAAATTCAAACAAACTAAAAAATCTTACTTTCTATAAAGAATGTGATAGAAACTTTTGATGTTGTTACTTTTATTTTTAGCAGCTCTGAGAAGCAAATAAAAGTGCTGGGAAGGTGCTGATTTAGTCATTATAGCTTCATGTAATGCTTAATGAGGCCACCAAAGGGCGACGCGCTTGTTTTCTCCACTCACTGAGCTCTGATGGGCAAAAGTAAAAAATTAGATTCTATTTAGACTAAATATTCCTCATATGTACTATAATATAATAAATACTCAGTATAAATATATAATACATGTGTAACTGTTGTGTTTTTCACTCAAGTCCAGAATCATGTCTTCAGTTTCTGAGGTGTTGATGGACAGGTTGTCTCCAGAGCACCATGGGTTAGCGATAGGACAATGGAGACAGGCTTCATCATTAGACACAAAGACAGAGACTATCATCAGCCAGGAGCTTGTTGTGTTCATCTTACAGAGCAGAGCACTCTGTGCATCACCCACTTTCAAAATGGTGCTGCACAGCTGATGGACACTGAGAATCAAAAACAGGAAGGCTGGAATGCAGGTGAGCGAAGGTTTATTAAAACAAAATAGAACAGATTAACAGACCATATTCTATAAAAGCTTTCAATGTGAAAGAGAGAGCAAGGCAGAAATACAACAAGTTACAATGCTCTTAAATAGATAAGATTAGTTCAGATCCTAAATAAAATAAAGAGCTATAGGAAGCAGGAGAGACTGTTCTCAAAGCCAGCCTGAACAGCTGAGTCTTCAGCTGCTTCTTAACTCATTCACTGCCAGTTGTTTTCTGATCGCTAACGGCCTTCGCTGTCTATCTATCTATCTATCTATCTATCTATCTATCTATCTACAGTATATATATATATATATATATATATATATATATATATATATATATATATATATATATATATATATGGGTGGTGGCGCAGTGGTTCGCACTGTTGCCTTGCAGCACAAAGGTTGCAGGTTCAAAACTCGGCTGCAGCCTTTCTGCGTGGAGTTACATGTTCTTCCCATGCATGCGTGGGTTTCCTCTGGGTTCTCCGGTTTCCCCCACAGATCACAACATGTCCTATAGGTTATAAATTTTAAGTCGCTTTGGATAAAAGTGTCTGCCAAATGAATAAACATAAACATGTATGTATGTATAACAATTATAAACAAAATAAACCAAAGAAGGGATGAGTGAAATGTGTTCATGACACTGAAGCACCAAAAACAGTGTTCTTGATCGATACGCAGTAAACATAACTAAATACCAATAAAGTAATAAATATAAATATATATACATACATAGTTATATATGTCTACATAGGAATATGTATATTTGTATCATAAACAATAACAACACTAAGAAAATAAGACAAAAACATTTGAAAAAGTCTGCAAATGTGATCCAATATGGCTGCCACCTGAAGACGTCATAATATGCAAATTATGTGAGTGAATTTGTTCCTATCACAAAATTTGGCTCATACTGAAGATTTTTCTAATTGACAATATTCCTCTATCTCTAACCAGATTTAAGCTACAAGCTCTTAAAATAGTGATTTAAAATTTTCATATTTTACTGTAAGAACTATGGTGCCTAAAGGGTTAATTGTAATTTTTTAAACTATACAACCCCTGGGGCTCCCTGGCCAATCAAGACTAGCAGCGGCCCCGCCCTCCAGCATGCCCTGGGTCTTTCTTTGGGCCTTCTCCCAGTTGGACGTGCCAGGAAAACCTCACCAGGGAGGCATCCTAACAAAAGGCCTGAGCCACCTCAACTGGCTACCCACATGTGAACACAAAAATCCCTATAGGGCCCTACTTGGGACTGGGCCCAGATGCGAAAGCCCCAAACGGTGTCCAGGTCCTGTAGCCACCATGTACCACCATGCTGACAGCTGTTTTCACCTAGCTTGGCCCCGTGCGTCAGAAGTAAACATGTCTACTTCATCTCACATCAGATGCAACCTCACAAACAGAAGTTCCACCTCCATGTTGTTTTCCTCATTATAAACTACATGAATGAATCTGTTCAGGTTGAATTTGAGTATCAGAACCTGGAAAGCCCAGATGGCTTCTATTGTGTACCGTGTGTTCCTGTTGATCATGTGATGTGTCTAAAAACCGATAAACCTGAATATGAACCTGTCATTGCATCAGTTCTCAGTAAAATGTATGTTTGTCTTGATGTATTTAACTCTTACACGAGAGACACGTTGGAGAACATGTTCAATAAGTGCAATGTCTACCTGTGACCACAAGGTGGAGCACGTAACACACTTAAAATTGTCCTGTGGTCGAGATGATCATCTGAACAGCTTCATAAAGACTCGTCAATGGGAACAAAATGTTCAAGTTGTTCCTCAGCTTCATTGGATCTAAAGGTCACATTTCAGTAGTTTGCTTCCTTATAAATGAAATATATTCCAGAACAAACTTTTCAGTGCACTGGCGGCTGCTCATCAGGCATCAGTGTTTCACTTGTATAATCTTAAATCCTGACCTTTTGTGTCGGTGACCTTTGTGTTCTCCATTACCTGATTAAAACAACTTCCTGCTTTTGTAAAGAGACCCTGCTGCTTTGTTACATCACCTCGGTGTTCGAATGTTCCTTCTCCTGCCCCTCATCTGGGTAAAGTCCACAGTGGGGGATGCTGGGTCAGTTTACGTTGATAGGAGTGTACGGGGCTTTGGGTCACGTTCCTATGGTAACAGAGAGCTTTCTCACCGCCTGCCCTGACTTAATTTGTGTGTTCGCATCTGTGTGCTTTTGTGTGTCTGACCAATTACTCCTGTAGGGTGTTATCTACTCTCGCAGAGGTTGACATTGTCACCCTGATGGCTGGGTGGTCATCGTTCAGGTGAGAGGCTGAGTTTCCACCGTGCAAGTGAGCGGGAGGGTAAAACAGACAGATCGTAGGAGAGGGTGAGACTGACGGGAACAGGGAGGATGGAAGGATGTGACAGAGAGGAGGAGACAGCAGGGACACGGGGGGTAAAAGCCAGACTATGTCAACAAACAGCAGATATTTATGTCAAGTACTGATAGCTTTTCCCCCAACATTACCGTAAATGGGAGTTGTTCTGGACTAATTATCATGAGAGCTGCTACACAAACAGCTCAGCGTTGTTACAGTCACTGCAGGTTGTTTGCTTTCATTCTGAGCTCTCGTTTGAACAAAAGATTTAAATTTGTTGCTGTCTTAAAAAATTTCACATTGTTTGTTTTGTTAAAAGAACTGACTGAGATTCATGCAAAAAATATGAATATTTCTGTCACAATTTTGCAGTCCTCGGTCATTTCAACATACATTTTAAGAAATTCCTGCCAGGTTTGCGTCGTGGAGGCTCCAAAAGAGGTGTATTTTGGTGCTGGTGGTGATATTTCTGCTGTGAAAAGGTTTATAAATCCAAATTGCATTAATTGCTGTGACTTTTAGGCCCTGTCCACACGTAGCCGGGGATCTGCCAAAACGTAGATATTTTTCTACGTTTTGGCCTGTCGTCCACATGAAAACTGAGTTTTCACACGAAAACGGATCTTTTTAAAAACTCCGGCCAAAGTGAAGATCTGTGTTTTCTCCGTTTTGGGTGTCTGCGTGTGGACGGACAAAACCGGAGTTTTAAGGTCCGCAACGTCACTTTTCTCAACAAAAAAATGCTGACATCACGTGTGCGACCTGTGTTTACACTAGCCGACAGCATGGACGCCCTCAGAGCTGCGCTCGCTTTATCAATTGTCCAAGCGCCTTTTGCTTGTTTGTTTTTGCAAGCGGAATTACTGCTCCTTGCGGAAGACCACAGACGAAGGACGAGGTTAAGAACGGGGGAAGTACTGCCGCCTACAGGTCTGGCATGTCCTTAACAACGTATTTATCCAGGTACGTGTGGACAGAGTTTTTTTTTAAATGTGGTGGTGTGGATGCAAGTTTTTGGAGGGGCGGATATTCGTTTTTAAAAAACCCGGCTACGTGTGGACTAGGCCTTAGGAGAGTTGGGGCTGCATTCAGAAGCCAGAAATATATATTGGTCTTGACGGTGCTTGCACTAACCATGAGTTTAATCGGTCATGTTAGACCTGTATAGTATTTAAATACTGGATATTTGGGAAGCAGTATACAGTAAGATGGTGTATTTTATGTAACCTTTATGCAGAAATACAAAAATTCTCTGTTGAAGTTATAACTAACTTGTGTCATGGCTTGTGGAAGGCGTTTAACCCAAGACATGCAGAATCAGCTCAGGGGTCAGGAGGTAAGAAATTAAAGTCTTTATTTACACAAACGGGAACTAAAGTAGCACTGAAATCCAGTGAATTATGCCGAGGGCGATTGTTCAGAGTTCTTAGCTCAGCGAGCTGCGGGGCAAGCGGGGTGCCAAGGAGACCAGTGTAGCGATCCAGCCGGACGGGAGGTGAGGAAGCAGAGAGGAGAAAAGCAGGAGCGGTGGAGGAGGATGAGACGTGAATGAGGATCCGTGGTTCTTAGCAGAATCTGGTGAAGGTTGGGGTTGTGATCCTAGGAGGGCAAACAAACGGAGCTTCAGGAGCAAGTTCAAAACCGTAATCCAATAAACAGTCCAAGGTCAAAATCCAAGTAATCCAAACATGCGAGGTCAAACAAGCACGAGTGGCAGGCGTTACCAATACTGGAGTAATCATCCGGCTTCGAGTAGTGTCTCCATCCTCCTTTTAAACCCGAGCTCCAAATGATTAACTCAGCACAGCTGGTACCTCCCCGCTCCTCACCTGTGGAACACAGAACCCCAAAGATTGTTAATTGAGGAGGAGG